AGTCTTTCTCATCTGGCATGTCTGCTATTTCCGCTTTGATTGCAGCCTTCAATGCTAGTTCTAATCCACCATCCACCATTAGACTAGATACCAGCAAATCGGCCATAAATCGCTGTCCACTATTTATGTAAATATTTGTCGAACCCGATTGTTCCATATTGTTCGATGTATTTGGTAGAAAGCTGGACAGTGTCTTTGCACGCTCATTAGCCGTTGGGAGCAATATGCTCCAACCTGTTTGCAGAACTGCTTGCGCTGCTTCCTGTATCGTCGCTAATATCCCGGTCGCACTCGCTAAATTAACACAACGTTGCTTCAGAGAATTTAACAGGGGACTACTTGCAGCGAGTCCGACAGATTTAGTATCGATATTATGCGTCAACATCGTATGTAATTGTAATCGAAGCAAATTCAGCGTAGCTACAGCCAGACATTCACGATCCTGCGTTGGTGGTCGTATTCCCGGTAAACCTTCGCAAGATTTAGCCAGGAGCGTATCCAGCAGTTGAAAAGTCTCTTCACATATATCAACAACAAAGGCCACTCTGCTAGCTCCACCCGACCATGCCGACATGCACCAGGCAAAACTCTGAGTTGGACCTGACGCCAAACCGATGACAGTCTTTGAAGATAAGGTCGGACATAAAGTAGGCTCGGAAATAACGGAGCCTAATGTGGGATCGATTTGACCATAATCGTTTCTACCCCATCCATAAACGAACTGATCTTCCGTCAATACTAATATATGTGTTGCGCCTACAGACAGATCTTTGATTTTCTTGTCTCTTAACGATTCGATGATTTTAGGATATCTCACATGCTCCTCGCTGCCGTGACCTAGACGATACGTATCACCCTTTCCCCATGTGTACACTTCTCCGTGAGCTGTCAACGCTGCTGAAAATTGACTGCCGCAAAACACTTTCACCACGTTGATATCCAACAGCTTATCGACGATTTTCGGTGTCTTGGATCCATCTGTACCTCCTCTACCGAGTTTTCCATAATCACCATCACCCCAAGAGAAGACTATACCAGATGCAGTGACACATAAAGTCTGAGAATCACCACTACCGCAGGCTACATGCACAACCGTGTGACCTTTCAATGTTGTCACTAAAGTTGGGATCATAACGTCGTCGAAATTACCGTGACCCAATCTACCGTAATTTCCTCTTCCCCACGTGTATAATTCACCGCTGACACTTAATGCCGCTGAATATGTGCTACCACATGCTATGAACACGATATTCTTCTCTAAAAGTGCCTCGATCAATTTCGGTTCATCATAAGAGACGGTATCACCATGTCCGAGCCTACCTCCATCTCCGTTGCCCCAAGAATACACGCAGCCGTCTTGTGTTAACGCTAAATGATGCTTGCCGTCCGAATGAGACGCGATCATCGTGACCAGTTTATCGGAGAAACCGTGTACTCTCTGTGGATATTGAGTTTCAGATCCATGGTACATATTGTAAACATTGCCGTTTAATGATAATATCATTAGCGCTCGTTCGGTGCAACATAACTGTTTTATGCCCAACTCCGCGATTGCATCGCAATAAAAAGGAGTGGAACCATTTCCAAACTTCACACCACCCCAAGCCAATACTTCCTGAAATGTTTGTCTGCAGTTTCCATTTCTCGGAAATCCGTACTCGGCATTAACTGGCGGTAAGAGAGGAGCGGCCAATCTGCTTAAATTACACATAATAATAACTGCGGCTTTTCTCAAATCGACAGAGACGGCATCATCGTCCGGCAGTCGTAGATATTTAAGTAGCACTTCACATGGTCCCGGTGTAACATTTCCGTCGAGATGTCTGCGAGATTTTGTCGCTGGTATCATATTCAATCGTCGTAACAGAGGAACGAGCGGTGCAGTGCTTCCAGGTGGCGTGACGCGATTATCTTGATTCTTGTGTTTACCGCTGAGATGAAGTAATAAAACCACGGAGTCTAATAAACTAGAAAGAGTGGCTCTTTGTGCGACCAGTTCTAATAACAAGCAAAGGGCCGTATGTTGATCAGATAGTGGCACTGGTCGCCATGATCGTCCAGTAGTTACCTCTCTAAAAATGAAAAATATAATGTTACATCATATATAACAATATTAAGTACATTTCATTACATATAATAATTAAAATTATACAGTAATACATTAAAGTTATATTATAATAATAAATACACTATTATAAATTATGTTACATATGTGATTAAATTTTTAAATAGATAAAACATACATACCCCGTGACAACTTGTCTCAAAAATTTGGCTGATCTTTCTACAACTTCCAACCAAACTTGAGAAACGTTACTTTCATCGAAAAGAGTCGCTTCGGGTAACGATTGCAACGCTTCCAACGATTCGGTCAATAATTCGCTACAAAATTCGACGTCTTCTCCAGATCTCCAAGCTCGTCTTAAGTATGCGAACGAGAAATTTAAGGCCGCGCGCGAACCAACGCGCGCTAATCCCAAGGTTGCTTTTTCGTTAGGTCTTGGTCTGTAAAAGTTCATAAAATTTTGAGCATTTATAAGAACAATTTATAAATGCTATATTATTTTTTAATGGACAAAAAAATAATATACTGTAAAGAAGATACAATTGTATATCTATATTCTGCATGTACGAAAAAATAAATCACTTAGGAAATTTGACCTGTGCTGTATGTAATAGAAATTTGCATAATATAATTATATTACTCATGTAATTATGTATATTATATGTATACATAGTAGAATATTATACTGTACGTTTTTTGTAACTTTCCAATAGACTTTGGTACATTTAAGGTGTCCTTGATCTCTTGTGGCTTATGTCGAGATAAAGCTGTAAAATATCTTCTGGCGACTATTAACCGTTGTCTCAAACGCGTCGCCGATAATGTGCTATTCGCGACTTCACAACATAGTTTGCGTTGCTCCTTTATCGACAAATGGATGCATCCTTTTAAATCTGTTAATGCTGAAGAAAAAAATTTGAAAATGTTAATATCAATTCAAATCTAATAAACAAATATACAAATATATAAACATCAATTAAAAAATCTTGGGTAAAAATTTAGAAAATTTATAGTTTAAATAATTTAAAACAAATACAAATAAAACTTTTATAAAATTTTTTTTATATAGATGTATGATATAAAAACATATTTACATGGTTGGGGTGCCCAAAGCCATGAATCCATTATCCGCCGGGCAGATATAGCCCTCTCAACCATTGCTGTTGTTCTTGCAGTTTCTTCGTCATCCAGTTTCTGGCATGGAGTACAATTACATCCATGTTGTGGACCACAAATTCCATCACAGCACAAACAAGATAATACTCTCATACCACAATAATAATGTCCATTTTCACCTGAAAACAATACATATCAAAAAATTAATAAAAAAAATGTTATTTGAAAGGATTTATTGACATATTTAAATTATTATAACTGTTCTTTTCATTTTTAAACTTCTATTTCTATGAATAACTAGCCATATATTGATATCTCAATTAAGAAACATAAATAAATATTTGTTTATAATATATATTAATATATATTAATTTTAAATATTTATTTATATAACTATATTAACTTAAATATACAGATTAAATAAGTTTGAAAAGATTTTTACATTCATTAATTTTTACATTCGTACCCTTCTTCGCTACAATTCCTGCAGCATTGACTAAACCATCGCTGAAAGAACCAACAATTTCACCATCTCGCACCATTTCATTCCACAATTCAGCCAATCCATCGCGATAAAGAAATCGTTGCAGATCTGTTTTCAACCACTTGGCGTCCAATCTTACTTCAGGTCTAACTGTTATGTTTAATTGGTTACTCATCTTGTGTATAATATTATTTATGTAGTTCTTTCTCTCTATGATGTATAGTCCAATTTATTAGAAATAAAAATATGAATAGATTGCATGAAATGCAATTAAAACTAACAATTTCGCCTTGTTTGAAATAATTTTCCATTCTTGCCTTGATGCGATTGCATGACGATTATCTGTCTCTCGACAGATCAATAAATCAGAAAAAACGTCTCTCACGACTGATTATATTATATCTAGAATTAAAGTTTCAGATTAAGACGATGTTGATAATAAAGAGAGAGAGAGAGAAGAGACATACTTTGCGCGAGTTTTCGAGATTGCTAAGTATATTTTCGAATGCGGAACTTGTTTTCGAAGAAGGGGGAGGTTAACAATCAGCACAGTTTGCAATGTTTCTTTCAGACTCTTTGCCCTTTCCATCTGTCCCGTCCTCTAACGTCCCATCACCATCTACAAACATTCATCGTTGTCAATCTATCGGTTACAGTTAAAAGTTATCCGAATGTTGTGGCATTTTCGGGATACATTTTTTGACATATACGCACGCACATACACACGCACATACATACACCACATGCCCACATGCGTCCATATTTCCATATCATAATTCCGGTACGTCAGGCTGTCCGATCACATCCATTACCACAGTACTAACAATGTAAGCATTGGCGCGATAACACGATAATCGAACAACGTTGTATATACATGCATATACGATTTATAAATCATTTCCCACATGCACACACGTATGTATATACGTGACATCTCTACGCAACGTGGGTCGATTGTACCTATAAGTTTTGTGGTCGTTTCGCACGTTTACTAACTCATTTTGCAATATTCAACTTTATGTACAGTCTACTCATTTTCATACTTCATATTTAAAATTGCGAATCGGCGCATACCGTATGCACGACATGCACGTATTGATTGCAAACGATATTACACACACATACATACGTATACGCACATGCACGCGTCTCCTCTTATCAAGTGTAGTACTAGCGTTGGTACGTTAATGGAGAAAGGAAGAGAGAAAAGATATATATATATATCTCGTGTGTCTTAATTTATTAGATTATTTTTTATATTATTAACTAATATATTATTTAAATATTATTTTTGTTAAAATAAATATTTATGAAAAACGCGGCATTTTTTATATACATGATGACGTAATTGGGCAATCTCTCATGTGTGTGATGTATTTATGTGGCTATGCAAATTCGGCTTAAAGATATTTTATAGGTTACGTTCTACATTGTCCTATGTCAAATGTTGCAAAATATTACAGTATTTATTACAAATAAATAAAATAAAATCTTCACAATAAGCACTGGTTATACCTTTGCCATAAACAGAGGAAAAATATGTTTAATAGCATAAAACATTCACTAAGATATAATGCAAGTAAATTTGGTGAGAAGTATATTTATATCGATATATTCATAATGCTTGTGTAAAGAAAATTTCTCGTTAACATAGTTACACATAAAATTGCAATAAATATTATAGTATCTCCTTTGTACACTTTTAGCAAAAAAAAATTAGTTGATCATATAATTTAATATAATTAATATATATTTACTAATATAATAAATATATATTTAATTTATTACTAATACTATATATAATTACTTTATATAATATATGTACTATATACTATATATATATATACTATATATAACTATATATATACTATATATAACTATATATATACTATATATATATATATATACTATATATTACTAATATATATTTAATTTATAATTAATTAACATTAATTATTAATATTAATTTAATATATAATTATATTATATATATATATATATAATTTTAGGTCAGTTATTAACACATTTCTCAGCAGAAACGACAACAGTTAAAAGCGATCCAACGCAACGAGAATGCACACGAAATACTTATCCACACCGCACATGTGGACAGCCTACATCGATAACACATCCTCACTTAATAAAACCTGGAGAAGTACTGCCAGGTATACCACTTCAGGAACTTGAGAGGAGACGTTCCAAGTTAGTAGAAAGCATCACACTGGCGATGCACACTAAGAATATACATAGGCAACAAATAGTCATCATACCTGCATCACCCAAGATCTACATGTCTGATAAAATACCATATGTCTTTCGACAAAATACAGACTTTCTGTATTTCTCTGGGTGCCAAGAACCAGAGAGTATTTTAGTGCTCACATGCAAAGAAAATAAGTCCTCGTTCACTTTATTTGTCAGACCAAAAGATGAACATTCAGAATTATGGGATGGTCCGAGAACTAGTGTTGAAACAGCAGCTGAAATATTTGGAACAGATTATGCCTTACCAGTTACAAAATTTGAACAATTTGTGGCTTCATTCATCCAGGAGGATAAGAAAAGTATCATATGGTATGATTATGCTGATGTTGTTCAACCAATTTTACATAAGAAGCTATGTCAATTGGTTAAATTGACGGACAATCAAATATTTGCTTCTCCCAAGACTTTATTTCATCAAATTCGTTTAATTAAGAGCGTTTACGAAATCGATTTGATGCGAGAAAGCTGTCGAATAGCTTCTAATGCTATTATAAAAACGATTCAATCTTCGAAACCACAGATGAGTGAACATCAGTTATTTGCTACTGTAGATTACGAATGTCGTATGCACGGAGCTGAATATTTGGCGTATCCTCCTGTTGTGGCAGCAGGCAAAAATGCAAACATAATACATTACATTAGTAATAATCAAATTATTCGAAGTGGTGATTTAGTTTTAATGGATGCAGGTTCATATAAATATATATATAGAATTATAACAATATGAAATCTTATTAAAATTTCTGTTTTAAATTAATTTTTATTTATTTGTAGGTTGCGAATACCATGGTTATTCATCTGATATAACGAGAACGTGGCCGATTAATGGAAAATTTACACCAGAACAAAGAGTCCTTTACGAAATAGTGCTTGATGTTCAAAAAAATTTAATAAAGACCTTAAAAGACATGCCATCATTGGACAACGTATTTCGTCATATGTGCTTTCTTCTAGGAAAAAGGTTACAGGATATTAACTTGATACCGAAGAACATAGACGAAGAGAAGTTATTAACGGCCGCGTACACGTATTGTCCACATCATGTCAGCCATTATCTAGGAATGGATGTGCATGATGCAGGAAAAATATCTAGAAGCATAAGGATACAACCTGGAATGATAATAACTATAGAACCTGGTATGATTTAAGGCATACACTTTGAAGAAAGTTTATAAAGTAACTTATACATATCTGTCTTTTGTGTATTAGGTATATATATAAGCCCAAAAAATCTTCATGCACCACCACACTTTCATGGATTAGGTATTCGTATAGAGGATGATATTTTAGTGACAGAAAACGGTTCGGAAGTTTTGACAAAAACTTGCCCGAAGGAAGTGGCGGAAATTGAAGCTCTAGCGAGTCAAAATCAAGGATCATGTTAATATTGTCAATTCCAAACGTCCACTGTACATACAATAAGATGGCTTTTTTATTTACATACATATATAAACTATAAAATATATGCACGAATATCGCATATTAATTGTGTACATAAACAATTGCAACCTCAAATGATTTTTTTTTTTTTATAAATACTTTGACACATCTGACAAAATCAAATTTTTCATATTTTTTGAAAAATTCCATTCTCACTTAATACAATATTTATTTACTTAATAAATATAATGAAGAAGGAGCTAAAGTGTCTCAAAGTACAAGTATTTTTATATATAAATGTATATATACATATGTATGTATATAAATTTTCAGTTTTTCAATTAAGGAATACATAGCTTCTTTTATATATTTATATAAACATATTTATAACACATCTTATGTATTTATGTAATAGTTTCACATTATTCGAAAATTTCTTTAAATGGAAATAGATGAAAATTATATACTTGAAACCAGTAAAGAATTATCAGAATCATTAATAGAATAATGTATATAAAAAGAGCTAACGCGGTCATTGATATGAATTATAATTCAGTTATAAAAAAAACTTGCAATCTATGATACAATCATGTATGACACAATAATATTAATATTATTAATAAAAAAAATATAGTATTTAAATCTATGATGCATGGCACATATAAAATTGCATATAATATTAAGAAAAAAATTGTGAGGATTATTTTATATAAAATAAATTCAAAATATAAGCAAAGTGAATTAACAAAAATGCAAATATGAAATAAAAGAATACTTCTTAATTCTTTTTACAATTGCATTACCATGTGTTGATAAGACTTTTGAAAGTGCAAAAAATTGGGCATCTTCCTAGTAATATAATACAAATGATTATTATTCTCGTTAAATTGTAACGTTAAATTTAAACTTGTGTGACTTACTGTGTATGTTAAGCTTGTTTCAAGCACTGAATTAATTATGACTTTCGTAATTTACTGTCCCCTCGTTTCAAACTTAAGAAGTTGTCGAGTTGTTTCACTCGCAAATGAGCCCAAACCAAGTGATTGTGCATTGCATGAATCTGCGCTGCAGCGAACGCAGCAGCTTCCGGATATATGACTGTGGTACAACCAAGTCCTGTAAATTAATTAATTAATTAACTTTATTAATTTTAAATTCTTCGAAAGATATAAATGTATATAAATGCTATATATTATAATTATTTACCTGAGGGAACGTCAAGCGATGACCATATGCTTCGTTCGATATTGTCTGATCTCAGAGGGGGGCAATTTATGACCGGCAAGACAGTATTGCCGGAGAGCACTGGACCCAAGCCATTGCTACGACCGGCTACAGCTATCAGTACCACCTACAGTAAAAAAAAATAAGAAAAAACTTGTGATAAAGGGAAATAAATAATCTATTTACAGCTATCACTTTTTTTATCGTAACGAGTTTTGAAATTAAGGGGATAACACGAAACGGGTCAATATGGATTCAAAGATATATAATTATCTATTTATTATCATATTTGACATAGTGAATTATTGTGATTCATTATGGGAAATATCATGATAAAAAGTCGATATTGAGACATACTGCTACTGTATTGCAATATCAGTATTACACAATTATATTATTTATGTGAATGCATGTTATTATTCACCAAGTAAGCATATTCATTAATATTACTATTAAATGAAAATGTTCGAGAATGTATAATAATTATAAAATATTCAGCAACAAAGATATGCAAAATACAAGTTGATAATGATAAATTGATTGATGCTCATGAAAACAAATTTAATAACTGCACTCAAATTTATCATCTTTTTCTAACATTCTAATGTTTGATATTAAATAAATTTATAAGACTAATTCTTGAAATAAAAACAATTTAAAATATTAAGTAATTGATATATAATGTAATTTATTTACTAAAACTAAATTTCTTAAATCATTTTTGATTTTTTCTTTTTAAAATTTTTTTAAAACAGTTTTGTAAATTTATGTAAGAAAAAAATTTAAGATTTGTCAAAGAATCCATAGATAAAAAAGTAATTCTTAGTCTATTAAATTTTTATAAATTATATTATATAAAAAAGATAAAATAAGATGAAACATACATTTTCTCCGCTGCCTTCATATTCGGCGACAATATTTAAAGTTTCCAGAGTACCCTTATGAGCGCTACAGACTCGAAGTTGTGGTTTCAGACCCAATGCTGTAGCATGTTTTGCAATCTCTTGGCAAAACGCTTTGTCAGAGGGAGAGCCCATAAATATAACAACTAATGGACTAGGTGCTTCAATAATATAATCCAGTTGCTCTTCCACCCATTTAAAATTACGTTTTACTGTTTCTAAATTTTGTTGTGTTACATTGGATAAATCTCTGTACACCTATAACAGATATAACAACTTTAAATACTCATAATTGATATAATATTGAAACATCAAGCTATCTATTAAAAAGATTTTTACCTGCTTGTCTTTCATCAATTTCTTATCTCCAGAAGGCCAGAGTCTCCAGGAATCACTATCAATAATATCAGCAACTAAAATCTCTCCATCTGAATCCACACCAAATTCTATTTTCATGTCTATCAAAGCACTATTACGCACAGCCCAAGCTCGCTCAAGAATTTCAAAAACAACTAGAGTAATACGTTTCATAATATCCACTTCATCTTTTGTTATCTTTACGCCACCCATTATAAAATCTGCAGTAATAATTTGCTCATCGGACCACTGTGGATCATGATTAGCATCATCTTTATAAAATGTTTCCTGGAGAGGTGGATTGAATCTGTAACCCTCTGGCACTCCTGTAAAATGCATAATTATATATGAATGTATTTTGACATACTCCTAGACTTGTTAATTCCAAAAGAACAATATATTCATGTATACCTGGATGTCTTTTTAAAAAGCTACCGGTTGCCTGTCTTCTGGTAACCCATTCAATTGGTATCATGTTACATTTTTTTGCTATGAAACATTTTGGACCTGCAGGTTTAACATAAGCTGTCTTAACACCAGCTTGATTAAGCAATCGAAAGACTTTTACAGTAGTAGAGGTACTAATTGTTGCTTTTCCCTCTAAATCATGAGACTTTGCGCCGTCGCCAGCAGTGATGCGATCCTTGCTTTCCAATAAACATAATGTAGGATCATTTAAAAGATTGTAAATCTTCTTTGTTTTTCCTTCATTGATAAGTTTCCCAACTTTATAATCTACAGACAAAAAGAAAAAACATTGATTTCTTAAAATTAATAAAAAGAACTTATTTTGTCTTATTTATGAGCAAATTATTAACTTCATTTGTTCATAAACATTGTGACATCATACATGAATTTTCATACAAATAGTTTATTAAGATAAACACGCAAGTTCATTATTTTAAAAAATATACGACTAAAATTAGATAAAATGTTTATCATAAATGCCACGTCAAACATGAACAGAACATTTACTCAAAGAACCGGCCGGCGAATCAGAAGCAAGCCAATGCATTAGGCAACTACCTGTTGCTTCGGCAAAAGTGTTTATCTTCTTGTAGAAATATTTTAACTTATTTTCACTTATAAATTACGTGTAAATTACGTGTAAGTGTTATATGATTCACAGATGCAATTAATATCGATACATATTCATATAAACAAAAAGAGAATCAATTAAAGTTCTTTATCTAAAATTATCACTCACCAGCCATGTTGACACTTGAAGGTCTAATATTCGTATGAACGTAATTCGCCTGCCTGTATTTCTTTAACAGTCCCCACTACGATCTTCAATCTGATTCACTGATTGGCTCAAAGCTTAGCTGACCCCGTACGTTACACAAGTATTACGTCAAAAGCGAAAAATCATATATGATATACGCACTGTGCTTTAAAATCCTCTTGTATATCATCATATGACAAAATTTGGTCATTTCATATTTTGTGAATAATTAATAAATCTTATAAATCAATTGTTATAAAATTTACATCTTGTAGAAATATGATCATCGCAGATCAGCTGTTATCGATTGTCTTTATTCAAATTGCGAGTATATAAAAGTCTTATATAATAAGATCTCATATTATAAGATTATCAGTATAGAATATCAAGCTACAAACATTTATAATAACAAAACATTTATAATATTGAATAAAATATTTATAATATTGAATAAAAGTAATATCGAAATTTATTAAATAGCAAGGAAGACAATCATTAAACAATTCTACTTTCAAAACTTTAAGAAATACATGACATACAGTGAAATTACGTTGTAAATCGTTCGAGCTAATTTAAAGTTAAAAACTCACATGATTTTTAATTCTAAGAATCACAAATTGATAGCAATATGTTAACATTGGTTTGTTACTTGCAAACAGGAAATAGCAATTTGACGACAACTCAAATCGTCGATTTGTCATTTACGATTAACGATTAACGAACAATTTTTAGACTTTACGAAAATTATATTTTAATGCTATATAATATATCCCATATCTTTTTTTATGTCTTATCAATTGATGACATTATTAAATAATAAATAATTAATAAAATTTAAACAACTCAATTCATTAAAATTAAGATAGAATTAAGATTTATTTATATGGAAAATAGATTTCTATTTTACATCTTAATTATGTATAAGAAAATCGACGATTTTTGCTCATTCGAATATTTCCGTCTATTTTCGAATAATTAGTTTGAAGATCTGAAATCCCTTGTTGAGATTGTTGTGATTAAAAATTGAACTAATAGAAAAATATATTTTTGATTATTATATTAGCTGTGCTTTGCAGATTTTTTCATGAAAAAAAATTTATTACGTGATAGATAATAAACGGTAGCAAACAATCTTTGTAAATAAATCTCGAGGACTTTATACCGTTTCTTTGTCATAAACATATGATAATTTCATATTTTTTAATACATTTTTTACAACGAGCTGGTAATTGAAAAACTTTATTATTTAAGCAAAAATATAACAAATGAAAATTTATTATATAATTCAATATATTTGTGTTATTACCATCATATTCCCGTCATGACGCTCTGGACAAACTATCAATTCATATCATAATGAAACATAATATATCAATATTGTTCGTTGTTTGCTCTCGGAATTTCGTCAACTGATTGCTTATCAAGCACTTATTATGTTATTGCATTCGATTAATTTTCCATTTCGATTCTTGTCTTGTCAAACATAAAACAAACACATAATAACGCACGTAGCGCGTTAGTTGCGTGATTGATCATGCTTATCTGGGATGTAGTGACGAAATATTGTTTAGTCATCTATTCCGATTTTTTCCTATAATATTCGTGTATTATATAGTATATAAATGTGTATATAATTCTTGTGTACTGAGAGGAAAAAGATCTTTTATCGGGATGTGCACGTTCTTCGTGGGGGTGACGTGACATGTGATTCTTCACCTTCCGCGATCCCATTTTTCAAAAAGAATGCAGAGATAATAGTCGCGCCTTCGACTATATTCGAATCTCGATGCCTCTCTAAACGATGACGGTTTCTTATTGGCCCGGACCACTCAGTCATCCGCTCCATTTGTATTTTACGACGTGTTAGCAGATCATTTGTACAATCAGAGAGGCCCGTTTCTTTCAAGAATACGAGCGCGCTCCCCAGCAGAAAGTGTACGTACACGTGTAAGTGTATGCATATCGTAATATTCTATCTCGTTCGGATAGGAATCTCATAAAAAAGAAGAGAAAAAGTCAGGTATGTGTTTATCATTTCTTGTTACCAATCTCTACCAACACTTTGAGTTCCTTCACAATTTTCAATTATTTTTATATATTTGGTGTGTCCTTAATGACAATTGTTATGCAAGACAGATGCAAGTCAAACTAAAGAATAATATATGTAAGTTGTGCATAATTTTAATCCTCTCAAAAATTCTACATCGAAAAGAATAGTTCTTTTAAATTTTTTTTAAAAGATTGTAGTCCATTGTGTATTTTTACTTTTACATGCCATCATTTCTCGCAATTTCAAGTTCTCTTTCTCGTGCTCTTTTCAAAATACAAAATTAATCAAACGAACAATTGCTAATTCAATAATCACGTCAGAAAGGATCAATTATAATGATTAAGATATTTATAATAGTGCATTATCGAGGTCGTATAAGAATCAAAAATAAAAATAAAAGCCAAACACTTTTTTCGAAATGTGTTACGAATTTAAAAGATTGCAAATTCTGACGTTATCGCAGATTTCCGGTTTAGAATATCGCGCTCGACACGATATTAATTACGCCAAGCATGTCCTTGTTCAACAGGTGGTTAGACTATTCGCGAAAGTTGCGTAGGAATATTTTATTTGATCTTGATATCTCGGCTCTTAACGAGTGATTTATTCGTATATTAAATCTATACGGTGTATACATATTTAATTTTATGTTATTGGCTAAAAAAGAGAGCAACTTATATTCGGTAAGTAACATAGGAAATATTTAGCACGTGTGTGATCACGCTTGATACATCAAAACTTTCTTGGAATCTTGAATAAATTAATATTAGTCTCTTTTTTCAATAGAATTTTTATTATTTCAAATTCGTATTTCATAATATGGTTTTTGGTTAGTCACATTAATACAGTAAACATTCAATTTATGGCTTGCTATTAAACTCAATTCTCATTAATTTTTCTTCTGTCTTGTATAAATGACTTATATCCCAAATATTTATTCTCTTAACATATGTTCATTTTGTTTAATTTCAAATCAAAATGAACTTTACGTTATACAAATAATATAAAGTAATTTTTGAAGAAAAGATAGTATTAATTTTACTTTGCGTTCATGTATAATTTGTATTTGTGGAAAATTAACTTGAAAAAATATTATTTTATATAATATAAAATATTATTTATCAACTGGAAAAATATTATTTTGTGTGACGTAAAAGATTAATTTGCTACAAACATATAATTGTTTTATATTCTGACACTTATGATGTAAACACGATGTAAGATGTTGAAATCAGTTGCGAAATACAGATTGAGCAAGCATGAGAGGAAAATATATTTGTAATATTGAACAAACATAAGATATATATGTCAATTCTATCTGTCTGCTGGGGGTCAATAGTTTATAAGAGCAATATAGATAATAAACAGAAAGGAATTGTGAAAAAGTCTATTAGATAATTCAATTCAATAAGATACAATATTTAATCTATCCAATCTATATGTTTTATAAATTTCAAATATATAGAATTTGCTGAAAATACTAAATCTAAGGAAATAATTTTGAAAACTATTTTAAAAATGTTTTTTAGCTATAATTTGAGAAATATCAATAATAATAATTAAATTATAAATCTTGATAATAAAAAAGTTTCAATTGTTATATCTTGTTTTGTGATTTGTTAATTTCACTTTTATCTATTTTAACTATTTACACGTATATTATGTATATTAAAAATTTATCTAAAGGCATTATATATTTTGATTTTTCAAATAACATTCTTATAAAATTCATATTTAATTATTATGATTGATATGAAGAAATGAAAGAAAAAAATAACATTTTATGTATTACAGATTACAATGGAAACACACATATCTCATAATAATGATACCACAATAGAACAGGTGATATCTCGTCTTTCTATAGAAGAATCAAAATGTATAAAGCCGCAAAGCAAAGGTGAAACCAGAGGACAAAGGCTTACTGGTCTTACGCATGAATGTGGTGTTTTTGGATGTATTGCTTCAGGTGATTGGCCATCGCAAATTGATGTTGCCCAAGTTGTTTGTCTAGGTAAGTATACTTCTTTCTATGAAAGAAATTTAAAAGTTCATATATAAGTATAAGTAATCATATAAAAAGAGATATGAATGAAAAAAATAATGGAAATAATTAGTAATTTAAATTAAAACGGAATAAAATACTGTATATATAATATTTCTCTGTTATCTTCACTCAATAGGTTTAGTAGCATTACAGCATCGAGGCCAAGAAAGCGCAGGAATTGTTACAAGCGAGGGTGTCTGCTCCAAGTCATTCCATGTACATAAGGGTATGGGAATGATCAATAATATCTTTAATGATGAAATTATGAGAAAGCTTAAAGGAAATCTTGGAATTGGTCATACTAGATATAGCACAAGTGCAGCCAGCGAAGAAGTTAATTGTCAACCATTTGTAGTACATACTGCACACGGAGCATTAGCAGTTGCTCATAATGGAGAATTAGTTAATACAGAATCTCTTCGAAAAATGGCAAGCAAAATTTACATTCTTTTATATCAACTATTATAGATGATTATTTTATCATTTAAAATATTTAAGTTGCTCATTAATACATTGATTGAAAATTGAAAACTAAATTTTAAAACTATTTTCTTTCTAGGTATTAGGTCGAGGTGTTGGTTTATCAACATATTCGGATTCGGAACTTATAACACAAGCGCTCTGTTTGAATCCTCCGGAAGGCGAGGTGAATGGACCAGACTGGCCTGCGCGTATTAAACACCTTATGCAATTGGCACCATTATCATATTCTTTAGTTATAATGCAAAGGGATAGAATTTATGGTGTGCGAGACCCTTATGGAAATCGTCCTCTTTGCTTAGGGAAAATAGTACCAGTTGGCAATCTCGGTGCATATTAAAATACTTAGTCTTACTGTTTTTTTACTTTTATATTAATGTTAAATAATAAACTTTAAATCTTGTAGCAAGTAGTGATTCTGATGATGACGATGATGAAGCAGAAGGTTGGGTAATTTCATCAGAATCTTGTGGATTCTTAAGCATCGGCGCGAGATATGTTCGCGAAGTATTTCCTGGCGAAATTGTCGAGCTTACTCGAGAAGGCATTAAAACTATTGATATAGTAGAAAGGCCTGATAAAAAACCACAGGCATTTTGCATTTTCGAATATGTCTACTTCGCCAGGTCGGATAGTATTTTCGAAGGTAAATAAATATGATATAAAATGTATTAAAAATTGATGAGAAAATATATCTAAAAGCATTTATTTGTATTATACTAGGACAAATGGTATATTCCGTACGTATGCAATGTGGTCGAGTATTAGCGATGGAATCGCCGGTTGAAGCTGATATAGTAAGCTCTGTACCCGAATCTGGAACCGCAGCCGCGCATGGATATGCCAGACAAGTAATTAATAAAACAATATAATACAAAATAATATTATATATATGTAAAAAACTAGGAATGAATATGTATATGTAAATGTGTAATGTTTGACTTAAGTTGCATTTAACTTGAATAAAATTTCTTTTATATTACAGTCGAAAATACCATTCGCCGAAGTTTTGTGCAAAAATAGATACGTAGGTAGGACATTTATTCAACCTAGTGCACGATTAAGGCAGCTTGGCGTAGCTAAAAAATTTGGAGCTTTATCGGAGAACGTTAAAGGGAAAAAGGTAGTCTTGATTGACGATTCTATTGTCAGAGGAAATACAATTGGCCCGATTATCAAATTATTACGTGACGCGGGCGCCAAAGAAGTAAGCTTTCTTATACTCGTCTTCATCTCGTCATATTCTTTCCTAATATTGTATTTGTTACAATTATTTATTATTTATAATCATCTACAGGTTCATATTAGAATAGCATCACCTCCTCTTAAATATCCATGCTATATGGGCATCAATATCCCAACAAGAGAAGAACTTATCGCAAATAAGCTTGATAATGTAAAATTGGCCAAGTATGTAGGAGCAGATAGTTTAACGTACCTTTCGGTCGAGGGACTTGTTGAAGCTGTCAGACATCGCATGGATAATCGTGAAAGCAATTATATTGGACACTGTACTGCTTGTCTAACAGGGGAATATCCAGATGAACTCCCTGGTGATCTTGAGTGGTAAAGATGTCATGATTTTTATTCTAAAAGCAAATAATACTACTTTTTTAATGTATAAGTTTTTAATGGTGAATCTATATATACATTTCATGAAGCCATATTAATTGATAAAATACTATGCTATTATAGATGTATGTATATCGGATATTACTTTATATAGATACTATTTTATAAAGTGTTAAATTTAATTTCATTCGAAAACTTGCTTGGAATTCAATAACATTTTATATTTATAAATAGCTGTGACAAAGTTAGTTATATGGATGAACTCATTATATATTTCATAAAAATAAATTACATATTTGAGTTCAATTCAGTATTTTATAATTGTATACTGTTTCACGCGCGCACAAAATAATATACCTTTGACGTATATACATATATATTTATATATATAATAAAAAATATGTGAAGAAAAAAAAATAATTTCTTAAGTGTAATGTATGACAAATAACAATATCTGAGATTTTTTTTTGTATTGCAATACTTTACATTAGAAAAGAAACAAACATAATGGATGGACAAATAGAAAAGAATTGGAAAACAATGAGCATAGTGCAATTAAAATAGAAACCAATCTCTTTGAGGTACAAATGTAATCAATTTTCTTGCATTTAGTTTAAGCAGATTCAAATTAATAAAGCGATAATTAATATCTGCTTTACATGCAATACAGATGTTAGCAACACAAGGTCTTTTTGGACCTTTATATAGACTATAGTTAAGAATAAGAGAGGCGAAAGTGACATATAAACTTAAAAATATGAAACTAATATTAATCTCATTCTATATCGAATATTTTACTCTTTACAATTAAAAATATAATTTATATCGCTGTGTATTTACTTATGACACATTTAATACAGATAATTCAAATACAAATATATACAAAAAAATATACATTTTCATATTTTGAATGTAGCTGTATTTATATTAATATTAATATTTGATTATCATTAGCGTTAGTGAATATAGTATTTAGTATTACACATACAATAACTAAATATTACATATGTAATAAAAATTGTATACAATTAAACAAAATATGAAATCTTTATCAAATAGAAATTAAGTAATTTATTAAAAACCATTTTCATAAGACAATGATAATCAATGATGTATGCAATATGTAAAATTTGTCTATTAATCATTTGTATAATATACTTTTGATACTCTATTATTTATAATTATACATAATTAAATTATTAGTGAAAAAATCTAATTATCAGGAACATATGAAATATATAAAATTACACATTAAATTTCTAATTAAATAGGCGTAATATTTACAGCAAGAAAACTATACTAACACTAATATGTCTAAATATTAAAGTATTTAATTAGAAATTTAATGTATAATTTAAAATACTCATATATTCTTGATATTACGTCCTTAAAAATAAATTTATCAAAATTAGGAGCTTTCAACATATTAGTGGTTAAAGAATGATTAGAGAATTTACTTTTTCAGACACAAATAAATGAGTTTTCATGTACAATCAGTTTTTTCTGACTTTTCTTTGATTTGATCTGGTATAAAGTAATTATCTTCGTCAGACTCCGAATCTAGCAAAATACCTTTGGCTTTTTTTTCTTCTCTAATTTTTTGTTTCTCCAAAAATGCACTTAATTCTTCTAGTTTATCATCACGTATCTTATTCCAATATTGGAGGGCTGAAATTCCAAGTTAAAATTAAAAGTCCAAATTTCAAATTGAAAAAAAGTTTTAAGCTTATATTTTTTATCAACAAACTTCATACCTTCCTCTTGATACTTCGGAGGCACACCTGCTTGTGATAAAGTATCAATATTTGGAATACAACTATCATGTTCGGAATTACCAAAAACCCCGGCTCTTGATTTTGTAAAAACTCTCTGCATCTTTAGTATTTTCCTTGTTTTGGCAAAATATTTTAGAGTCGGCACTTTGTCGAATACAACATCCTCCACATGAGGATTATCATCTTTTTCAAAGAACATGTAAGTACCCACAACGTCTTCGTAAGATCCCTCATAAAACTAAAACAAAGATGTAAAGTAATTAGAGGAATAAATTTGGAAATTTAAATATATAACTTCTATATTGTGTGTGCGTTTCATGTGTATTAAATGCTACAGACATAAAAACATACCCGTCCATTAATTTGCATTATAGGATGCTCCGTGTCTATTCCAATCATATCTAATTGAAGTTCCTTACTATTAAATACATTGCTACCAATAAGTCCCTCGAATTCTACGTAAACGAGCATTTCTTCCTCATCTTCTAGCAATTCATCGTCGGATTGCATCTTTGTTATGAATTCTTGTTTACACGTACGGATGCAATAACCCTAAATAATTCATACTATGTGAAGTGAATCTAAAAGAAGTAAAGTATAGATATAGGCTGCGATTGTTGCATTTCTCCACGCAACAACCTGGCATTTTTGATATTTTCTTCTTTTTCTGCGCAACAGAAGGAGTTTTCTCACCTCACACACAACAGGACACAGGATAAACCAGGATCAAGGTTAGAAAAATTGCACTTAGTATAGATAGCTACACAAAGTGTGCACTATCTGCACCATCGGACGCCATTTTTGCTCCATCTTATCTTATTGAGATCAAAATTGCGGTACTTTGTTAATCTAGTGACTTTATCCGCGAGAATATCAAGGTTCGTTCGAACGCGTGACGCGCGTAAACATAATACACGCATGTATGTGCGCCAACAGCTCTTTTAAGAAAATACTCAGGACTGAAACAGTTTCACCAACTGGTCAATTGACGAGTTTTTTGTATCAGTGATTGGTAGAACTGTCTCATATATGAAATAGTTGAAATAAACTTTTTTGAAAAGTTTATTCGTCGTTGTCGCGATATTAACGTCCGGAATAAGTGAAATATATTCGTAAGTTATATACAATTTTATTATTAATAAATAGTTGATTGCTCTCGAAATACGATACTCGATTGTACGATAGAAATAAGAAATTATAAATTATTACTTTGTTGCAATCTTTACGAGCAATGATTATTCTTCTATTTCTATTTCTATCTTAATATATATGTGTACACACACACACACACATTTAGAATTCTAATATAATAAATAAATATTCTCTCTGATATCATTTGATCTAAATATAATTTGATTCAGAACGCGCAATAAAACGATCGAATAAAAATCGGATAATTAACATAACGGAAATATATATTTTTAAAGTTATATACAAATGTACTTATATACAAGTATATCTTTAAAGTCACACACACACACACACACACACACACACACACACACACACACACACACACACACACACACGCACGCACGCACGCACGCACGCACGCACGCACACGTACACACGGATTAATTATTTATTAAACACACATCTTTAAAGTTACACACACACTCACACACGTACACGTACACGTACACACGGTTTAATTATTTATTAAACGATTAATATACTTCGTGAAGTTATTTCCATTTTTTATTGCAATTATGATCTTTAATAAAGATTTCTCATCATAATAAAAAAATTTTATATCGTTTATCAAAAGTTTAAATTAGATTTAAAAGTATATTATTGCCTCTTTTCGATAATAATTGATTATTTCACTGTACCTATTTCATGAATAGCTATCATTACAGAGATCGCGTAGAGTTTGACAATGCAATAAAATTAATAATAAAATTCCAATAAAATTAAATACAAATTAATTATAATAATTAAATATAAATTTGTTTATAATTAACTTTTTCTACGTTGAGAAAAGTTCTTCGTTTCTTTTGGAATATCTTAAAGATTCTTTTAATTAAATTTTACAAAATATATAACTATTAAATTTATAGTATTTAATATTTAGAAATAAATAGATAATATTTCATTTTTATATAGATTAAGTATACGATATTATTTATTAAAAGAACTAATATATCTTTTATGGATCTTTTTGTTAAGTTAATTATTTAGATCTACGATTCGATTGTTTTACTGCATTTCAATCCGAATTATATATTTAAATGATCGAAAAATAAAACGATAATAAAATAATAAGCAATATATCTATTTTAAAAATAGTGTATATAAATAATAAATAATAAATAATTTTTATAAATTACTCACCGCATGTCTCTGGCTGCTTCAGGCTCTCTCCCTGCTTTTTGACTGTCCGATACTTTTCCAAATGTCCTTCTCTTTTATTGTTTCATCCTTTGTTGTTTCCTCGTAGCAGTCACGTATTCACTCGCGAACAAACAATTATATTTCAGTTAATTATATTTCAGTCATATACAGAAACGATCGCGAGACACTTTGCACGACACTCCCGATCGCAAAATAATCATAGGAGATACGTATTTTTATAATATTATTATTATTTTATTATTATTGCAAAAGAGGAAAAATTACAATAATTCGCTCAATTTTTAAACAAAGCCAAAATCATGCACCACTCGATTCTTACACTAATTAACTATTTCTATTTGTTGATGTATAATATATGGATAATAACGCGAATCATAAGATTAAAATATTAAAGTAATGTAAATTGATGATACAGCAATCGTTTAATTAATATGATATATATGCATGCAGTTTAGGAAAGTTTAAAACATCGGGCGAAATCGAATTTCATTCTATGCAATGTTAAAGAAATAATTATTATTCGTTAAAGTTCGATAATCGGAGAATATTGCGAGAAAATTTGTAATTTTTGCCCCTTTCGCTTCAATTTTTATTTGCAATAATGAAAGATCGCGTTTCGATGAATTTATCGTCGCCACAATTTCATGTCATTTATTAATTAATTATTTGTCAATTGTAATAGTCGAATTATTATATTTCGATCTAATCGCGATCGTACTTTTAGGAAAAGAATTCGATAATACGGAGCGGTCCGTATCGCTACTTTCTCCGTTGGAATGTCGCCGTGCGAATGAGGGGAGGTCGTCGCGTATGTAAACAATAGCGCGCTACGTCACAAGGTCGAATGACGTGTTAGCTCGCTACGTCACAAGGTCGCTGCCGAAATATTTAATGCGTACTGTGAGAATTGTATTTATATACAAGTATATTTTTAAAGTCACATACACACACACACACACATACACACACACACACACACACACACACGTACACTGAGAAAAAAAGTTGTTAACTCGACTAAACCATTTAACTAAATTATTTTTTTTTTAATTGAAATATCGAAATATTTAAGTTAAATAAATGTCATGTTAGATTTATAATAGTTAAATATTCCAATTAAAAAGATAATAATTTAGTTAAATGGTTTAGTTAAGTTAACAACTTTTTTTCTCAGTGTACACAGTTTAATTATTTATTAAACCTCACGAGATGTATTAATCGTTTAATAATATAAGTGTATTTATATCCAAGTATATTTTTAAAGTCTCATACACACACGTACATTGAGAAAAAAAAGTTTTTGTTAACTCAACTAAACCGTTTAACTAAATTATTATTTTTTAAATTAAAATATTGAAATATTTAAGTTAAATAAATGTCATGTTATTTATAATATATTATAATGTTATTTATAATAGTTAAATATTCCAGTTAAAAAGATAATAATTTAGTTAAATGGTTTAGTTAAGTTAACAACTTTTTTTCTTTTATAATTAGTCTTTTCTCTGTTTACTATTTGATTGTTTTATTACGCTTTTAGAAAGTCAAGTTCTATAATGTAACTTTTAATTTTGTATTTCATATGAAATTATTATTTTAAACATAATAATTTTCTTTCTTTGCATTTCTATCATGAATAGACATTTCCAACCTTTACTAAAAAAACTAAAAATATCCCTCAATTTTTTCTCTCTTCGGACAATTTATTTATATTTATATATAGTTCTCTTTATTCCTTTAAAAATGAACATCGAGAACAAAGTATTGTACACGAGTATTGTAAATGTCAAAAAATGATCGCGCGAATATTATAGTTGTGAATATATAAAAATTAATGCAATATACTATGAATTTTCTACGTTATATATTGAATCGAAATTGCATAAAAGAGGAAAAGAAAAACAAGCCTATGAATAGACATTTCCATTTTTTACTAAAAAAAAAAATTAAAAATATCTCTCAATTTTTTCTCTCTTTCTTCAGGCAAGTCTACATATATGACCAATATGATTAATTGATTCCATCTTTATATATTTATCATTATGTGCTATTAATTAAAGCCGTAGACAATATTTTAGAAATCAAAGTTGTGCGAACGTTGCGCGCAGGAATGGATGCGCAGTGGTTCGGCCGCCATGTTAGCGCGTGACTGCTACGTCATACGCGTCATTGCTACGTCATACGCGTCATACGTGACTCGGAGTCATACGCAGTTACACGGATCGTCGAACGTCCGCATTTTTCGCGTCTTTTAACCGTTTTTAAACGAATATCGCGAGTGAAAGAGCGTCGAAAGTGTTCAAGGATGATCGCGCGACTTTCATAATATGTCAGTGAAAGTGCGCGACAGCCGTTTTCGACAATTCAGTGATAGCGCGATCGCGAAGATGGAGCGAAGTCGCGTCGCATTATTTGCGCCCTTGATGATGATTATCGGATGCGAGCGAATATCGGGAGTGCCGAATAAAGTGTCGCGCGTTCGCGTTGATGATATCGTGTGAGTTTGTGTGCATCAAGATCGGAATGGGACGTCCCGAGACGAGCGAGTGGAGCGGCCTGTGGAACAGCCGGTGAATGGTGAGTAGATTTGATTTATCATATTTGCGTGACAATTCGTGCTCATTCGACGCTTATACAGCATCGCGATGTCCCGAATTACGTTCGAACAAATCGGCGCCGCATCATAATTTGATGCGATGCCGTGCAATTCAAATAAAGTCGATCGCGTGAAGATGGTTAGGCTAGAAGCGATTTCAAATTTATTTTATATACGCGCAGTGCTGCACAGCCTATCTCGTAGGGCTGCCAACTGTTAAAACGATAAATTTTTTCGATCTAACCTAACCTAATCTAACCTCTTAGTGCTTTGGATGTCGAATGTAAACACAAGCGTATGCTGCCTGGATTTTATCATGCTTTCAAAAATAATATTTAATTATTTCATTAGTGTATTACATTTTATTACGTAGTATATTAATCGTATTAAATGTGCGACGTACAGTTTTACACATTTTAATGAGAAGCATATAATATAATTGCTTAGGTTAGATTAAATTAAAACAAGCTGTGATTCATTTAATGTAATAGGATTAATTTGACAAATGTGCAGCTATTGAAGTTACATGATATTTGTGGACACATTTTTAAAGTAATCATGAGTGTCTTATCTCATCTTGATTATATGAAATTAAAATATAAAATATTTATGTATTCCACATTAACGTTATTCATTACAAGTACTATATTACTTTTCTTATATCTCAATCATATTTCATCGATGAAGCTTTTCATATATCGCAGACAATATGATACTGTGTGTGGAATTTTACACAGGTAATACATGACACAAAAATAATTTGTTCTCAAGTATTGTGTGCATTTCTTAAAAATAAATCAAATTAAATTATTTTAAGTAGGATCCAAAAATCACTACATTGCCAGGATTGTATCTTATTATAATTGCGATATTATCACCTTTTAATATGTGTGCACAGTATTACATACATAAAATATATAAATTTATTTGAAACGTACAGAAATCTTTATCTTATTTATAATATTTATGATATAAAAGAAAATTGCAACTCTAATGAAACAGAGCGGTGGAATAATTGATTGATACTTATGCTGGTCTACAATATTTATCCTTTTTTCATCATTAGATTTTTGGTGCTTTTTTTATTATACAGATGTTATCTGTAAATATAGTACTTGTAATGTTGCTTCTGTATCACTGTAAGCACACAAAAATGATAGCATTTGCAGGTAATTATGTTATACTTATATATCATAAGAAAGAGAAAATAAAATTAAAATTGAATACTGAATGTGCTCTAAAATAAATCTCATCTAAATAAATAAATGCATAAATGTGCGCCCCACATTCCTCATGAAAAAAATACATAATATTAATTTTTATGTATTATTATTTTTAGATTTTTATTCTTTTAAATTCTCTAGATGCACTTTTCATTTCTCCTCTCTTTCTTTCCAACTACTAAATATAGATCTATCATTTTTAATATAGATCTGTCATTTTTAGTGTACATTATTGCAGTAAGTGGAATAAAGAGCAAATCTTTTGGCATATTTAAAATGTACAGGAAAGTTTTCTGATACGTTTTTTTCAATAGAAATATCTGAAAAAAATGCATACGTCTTTTTTAATCTTAGTCTTTCTAAATAAAAATTAGAATAATAAATTTGCAAAATAATTTGCTTTAATATATTTTTATTGCAAACATATGAAGCAAAGTGCTCAAGGTGCATCACTATGAAAACATCGATAGAATAAAAAATAGATCGCATACAAAAAAATTAAAATATTTACATTACATATTTGATATTTCTGCAAATATTTCCATTATTTTGAGATTGATTTGTTTCATGATATATTGCAATAATTAAAGTATTATTTCTGATATAATCTGCCATGAGACTGCAGAGAAAGCCAGCTTTAATTCTTTATTTTGTTCAATATTTTTAATAATATAATAATTAAATTAAAATTCTATGAAAGTATGCTTGAAATACTAAATAAAAAAGATTGTTTCTTATGTACAACCTTATACAGTTTAAGTAAACAAAAAGTTATTGTTAATAACATACATATATAAATTGATAATTAAATAAAACAATTAATTAATTAATCACACAATCCACGTTTTTTTTTAGCTTTATGTCTAACATATATATATATATATATATATATATATATATATATATATATGTATATATATTTTTATAAATAAAAAATGTTTCTTTCTAATATAAATGAAATAAAAATTATAATATGCCTTTAAATATACTTTATATACATACCTGTTGCAATAAACCAATAAAGAATGCTTTTACATTCCTCCTTTTGGTACTTTGGCATATCCTTTATGCCAATTATCTCGCAACACGCTTTTATCGCATGATGACAAACAAGCCCATTATCCTTCATGAATTTTCTTTAGAAATATTTTTATATTCCCAAACTGTGTAAAGAAATCATGTAACACTGAAAAATACAAAGTGATATTAAAAGAGAAAAAATAAATTTTATATTATATAGTATTGACAATTATTTTCTTACCAGTGTATTCCTTATATGTAGGAATATACATTAGTCTTTGACCAGCCCTATTTTTAACCGTCTTTAGGGATGCTTTGGCTTTTGATAACGCAAATCCAGCTAATCCATTTCCATTTCCAGTTAGTATAAATGAACTGATTCTAGTCTTACGTGCTAAATTACCAGTCATATAAGTTATCATTTTGTTTTCCAAAATCCAGGTTTCAAAACTTTCAAATGTATCTGCAGAAAACAAAGATATTAATTATATAAGATTCTAATATTTAGAACTGAAACATCAAACAAAAAATTGAAAATAGACATTGTATCACATGATTTTTGTATGTGTGTGATTTAGCCATTATAATCCAATAATAGCATAAATATTAACCTTTTCCTATAAGATCTGATTCAATGCTTATGCCATCCATTGTAACACTCGTCCAACCACATTCCAATGGCAATAATTTTATTTGCATTGATCTGGTCTGACTTTGTGGTAATTCCATAAGTTTTTGCTTTCTTTCAAGATTTACAAGCAGTTTTTGCTGTTGAATTAATTCTTTTCCTCTAAACACAGGAATGTTTAGACCAGGAAATTGTATCGGAATTTTTCCCATGCCAATAATTTGCTCCTTATTTAAGAGCTCTCTCTTTTCACTACTCTTCTTGCTCTACCTCTGCGTCTTCCTGCATTACTGATACTTGTCACACCCTTTCATAATTCATCTTCAGGTCCTATAGAACAAAAGTGAAATACAAATTATTTTCTACTGTAAATATAAACTATTATCAAAATGCTATATCCATAAAAGTTCTACTTAGTATTCGCAAAAAATATAGAGTTTCTCACATTATTTAATAAAGTGACTATTTTTAATAAATGTGAATGACTGACAAGCAATAAATTAAACAATATTAAACAATAATATACCTGAAAAAAATTTCATAATTTTATTAGAGTTAAATTGATAAATTAATTTTAAATACACATTATATGTTAATTACATATAATGATTTAGAGACAATGATATATTTCATTTGCGTTACCATTGTTTACAGATTGAACATTTTTTATCAAATTATTTACAATTCTAAATATGTAGCATACGACAAGCCATTTTTAAAATCTATAAAACAAACAACAAAGTTGTTCATAGTTTTTCACTCTTTTTTGTCATAGTTTGCTTTTAGGCGATCTTAAAGTCACTAGATTAACAAAGTATCGCAATTTTGATCTCAATAAGATAAGCTGGAGCAATAGTTTCTCGATATTAGAAGAATATAACTTCAAAGAGGTTGTATTATATTAGGGGAACAGCACTGGAAAGAATTTAAAATATTTGAATTTGCAAGCAATATTCGCTGTGCTCAGAATGATTTACTTCCTGTCAAAACATATTCTCTTAATAAATTAAAGTGAATTTTTGAATGTTCTGTGAGTGACGTTTACTCTCTTTTATCAATGGCTGTGTTCCAAAATTCACTGCCAGTACTGAAAATCTATAGTGTACGTCACGTAAACTATAGATTTTCAGTACTGGCAGTGAATTTTGGAACGCAGCCAATATACTTTCTATCGGAATATATTCTCCTGATAACTCCGATTTTTCCAAGATTTTAGAGAAAGGAACAGATACTCCAATTCTCTTGTCGCGATTCGTCGACAAAAAGGTACACAATTGCCATCCCGAGTGTTTATGCGCATGCGTATATTTTTGTTAATTATTAAAAAATAACATATATATTGCAAGTAATTCGATTCATTAAAAATCTCGCGTTCATTAAATAATGTATAAAGGATAAAAATGACAGATGACATTTTGTCCACTTTAACAGGTCGTCCAATCGGATCATAGTTCGAGGTTTGAAAGACGCTCTACTGTAGAATACACAGGATACACTTGAGACGTGAAGCGTAATCTCCTTCCCTTTCCTTAGCGTATGGTGACGTGTTCCTCGCGTACCACGTGGATAAGGCACATATGACACGTTGCCTCCTCCTCCGCGTCACATCATCAACTTACGTTGGAATCGTCTGCTATTTGTCACACGTCGCAAGCTGCGAGTGACCCTTTATCCGTCTCATTCGTGTGTTTATAACGAGTGTCTGAAGATTAGAGCAAACGCCATCGAGATATTTGATGTATTTCGCATCAAAAGTCTGCGTGAACCTATAACGTTTTTCATTGAAACGAAAAGAGATCCTTTCCATAATTTCTTGGATTATTTGCGATAAGAGCAATTGCGTGTAAACAATGGTAAGCATGATGATTCGAATGAAAGCGTACGATATTTTTAAAGAAAAGTATAATATCTGTTTATCTTCATTTTTTTCTTCCTTTTTTTCTTGAAAGCCTGCTGCACCTAGTGCTACTTCCGTTGGCTCGGTTGGACGGTCGCCCAGTAAAGCCATAGCACCAAGAACAGGTGGTAGTGGTACCGTCAGGCAAAGGAAAACCACTGTAGCTTCTTCGGCTAGGAATAGAAATACAGGCACAAATTCCGGTGGCATGTGGAGGTTCTATACGGATGATTCACCTGGTATCAAAGTGTAAGTATAAGTTTTCCGAAAATTTTATAAATTGTTGCGTGTACCATATGTGCATTGAATTACATTAAAATCAAAGAACCTAGAATGTGCACTTTAACTCGTTATAATATATTTTTACTATTATAAAAAATAATAGAAAGATGTGATATTTTATATAAAATATTTTTGCATTATTTCTTTTCAATTATGTTTTTTATAATTGATATGTTTCTATATATGTTTGTATATATTTGACAATGCTTTATTAAATGTTAAAATTGTTGTATTGCAGAGGTCCTGTACCAGTACTTGTAATGTCACTTTTATTCATTGCATCCGTATTTATGCTTCATATTTGGGGAAAATACACTCGAAACTAGAGTTTGATATAATCTAATAAGATCGAACTGAAAAAGTCAAGAAGCGATGGACAATGCAAAATAAATTAACATCTTGAGCAGATAATATGTATGATATATATATATATATATATGATTTTTATATGTTATCAAGAAAAGGTGAATATATATATAATACATCATTAAAAAATTTATCATAAAATTCATTATAATGCAATAGACATCATTATTGTTATATGATCGGAATGTATTAATACTGTGGAATAATACATTAAGAGAGTGGAAGTCTTTTTTACATAAATCCATGAATTATATGTATTGTGCAAAAAGTGTGAAAGTATTTAGTTTGCATTTTGTAATGTTAAGAGCATAAAAATATGTAATATTGAAATATAGTTTATTTTTACCCTAATCAAGTAACGTTATAAGTCAATTTAATCAAATATGTTATTTTTATGCTTCTTGTCATTAATTTTTATTCCATTAAGACCCGATTGCACCAAAAAAGTTATTTCAGCTTTAAGCGAGACTTAAATATATGTCTATCTTTATCTTTTTTTCTAAATAAATAAAGACATACATATATTTAAGTTTTACTTAAAGCTAAAATAATGTTGATGCAACCAGACCTAAATTTTTTGGCCAAAGCGATCTCTTTCAATAGTGTAGTTTCAATAGTTTATCTTGTCTGCGTATATAATTCCTGGAATAATATTTTTAAGAGTCGAATTAAAATTGGAATGGAAAAAATTTTAAATATAAAAAAAATTTGAATTTTGTCTACAAAACTATTAAAAAATTTATGAATAAAATGTTGCTTTTTCAATTAATTTAATTTGTTAGTTTAATTTGTTATTAAGTTAATACAATCATTTCATATTATTTATTAGCTACGAACATTTAATTTTTGTATTGAAATGTTTCTTAAATATTACTTTCACAATCTTTTTTTAAAATAATATTAAAAGCAATTTTTTTTTAATTTAAAAATGTCTTTTCTTTTTTAATTTGTTATTTTCTTAACAATAGTTTTCTTTCTCCACGAAAATACTATTCGATACCAACTGAAAAATTAAAGTGTATCACGTTTTTTAATTAACTTTCTTAAATTCTTAGTAAAAAAATCATTTAATTGTCTGTAAAGGAGATACAACATGTGTTGTAAACATGTGATAATTTGATGTAGATTTTTTTATCAGATTCGAATTATATATTCATGTGTGGAAAGATATTTATAATATTCAAAATTCTCTCCCTTTGTAGAACAAGTATAAACCACGAATATATAAATCGATGCTCTTGTATCCATTAAAAGTTTCCACATCATGTATCCTTTACCAGGCATTTTCAGCGAGGCGCCGGCGCATCTAATATTGATTTTTGGCTTGATGAACCGAATTGTATTGCGACATTCCCGAATTGAACGAAATAGGAAATTCTGAGATAAGCAGAATTAAAAAAGTACAATAAAATCGTTTATAAAAAGAAATAAATAAATCAGAATTAAACAAACAAGCGGTATCGAGATTGAGAGATTGCGAATTACGTATCGAATATAAGTAGGAATTACGATAAAAGGAATGAAGCAAAAAATGCTGAAAAAGGAAATAAGGAACAAATTGAAAAATAATAAAAAAAGAAAAAAGAGAACGATACATTTTTTTATGATTAAAAAGTACAATCTATTTGGACGGTTTTTATACCTAGAGAAATGAGAAAAAAAAATAGAATAAAAATATAAAAACTAATAGAAATATGTGATTAATATGTACTAATATATAAGCTGATTGTAAAACATATGGAAAACGAAAGGAGAGAAACACATAATGCAAATCAAAGAAGGAAATGGGGTGAAGGACGCAGAGAAACATTACGAGAGCAGGGTTGGAGGCAGGGATGCGAGAAAGAACGGGGCTGATAGCAGAGCCGTTTCAAGATGTTTAGGCGCCCTAGACTAAAAACTTCTTCTTACAGAAAATATATCATGTACAAGTATCTCTGTATTGAAAAGTCACCAACTTGAAATTTAAGCAGATAAAATCATTCGTTGCAAGATGCGTGAAAGGAAAGTTGATATCTAAAAAAATATATTTAAAACATTTAGAAACATTTAAAACATTATTATGATACGTGTAAAAAAATTCAAGTAATTTTAATCAATTAAATAATCGCATCTAAGACCACAATCTCCATCTGATACGGACGTTCTAGGATGATGTCCGAGATGTCCTCCGACCTGTAAGTCAGCGGAGGAAGCGTGCGCGCTGGAGGAGCGCGCACCGCGAGAACGAAAGGAAGGGAAAGGTAGGGTCGCGGGGGCGACCCGTCCACGACGAGGGGGACGTGGGGGAGGAGAGACGCGTCCCGAAGTGTTCGCGGGGAGATTCGAGCCGCGAGTCTCACACGTGATATCGTCGTGCGGGAGTACGCGCCTCGTTTTAGACGCGCGACAACGTTGGATTTCCCGTTGGTCGCTCGCCGCCCGAGCGGAGCGAAGCGTCGGGGCGGCAACACGCGTGCAACCGCTGGAAAACCATCGCGAGATGCGGCTCTCCTCGAGAGAGGTAACTCTCCCTGTCCTTGTTTTAAAAATTACTTCGATCTCACTCGTACAAGCCACTCGTTATCCTAAGAAATTGAGAAAACATGGATAATATTCGTAACAATTGCAATTATTGAGAATGTATTAAAGACCTCTTGAAATATTTCGCCGATAAAATCATGGCCAGAGTGCTCTTGAACAGATATATCCTAAATCATTTCGCAAGAGAACAGCTTTCAAGGTGATCTTAAATTTATAGACGCTGGAACGTTCTCAAATTATTCAAAATATTGCTGCCAAGAATGTGTATAGATAATATGTCATAACTTGTAAATTTTTCTCACAAATATCCTGGTATTGTCTATATCCTCAACCGCAATCCGCTAACGTTTTCCGCATTGCGGAAAGTAATATAACTATACGCTCGATATACGAACGTTTTGTTTATCTGGAGCATATAACTTGTTAATCTGCCAGATAGGAAGATCCAATACTGTATGGCTGTTTATTTTTTCAACCAATTTTTTTACCAATTTTTCTTTGCGTACAGTTCATAAAAATCAATGCAAATTAATTGTTAAAAAAAGAGATACATGATTTAAATCGAAAAGTAAAGATGCATTTTCTTTTCAGATTTTTTAAATAAAATATTTTTCAATGTTATATGAAATTGGATTAATATATGTATATTTTTTTTATAGAAATCTCTATATTAATATTTTTTTAAATATATATACACTCTAAAAACTTTAGTACAAATTGTTAGGTACGAGATTTATCAAAATGCAACTGTAAAGTATTTAATCTGTATCCGTCGATAATCTGGATTAAGCCCAGATTAGTGAGATTCACATATCTCTTTCTGGATTATAAGCCTGTCTGTAATACAATTTAATATTGGAGAAGATTTAATTAATATATTACATCTAATTGCCTGACAATTCTTTCGCATGTTTGAAAATTATCGAGATTTTGTAAATCTTATTTTCTTTTAATGAAGCATAATTAAAAAAAAAGTTGTAATTAAAAATCTTATATATTTAATCTAGTTTAATTTTCGTTTCATCGAGAGATATTGTGAGTTTTACGTGAAAACGATATATGTTTAATATATCGTTTATAATTAAAATAAACAAAATCAAACTGATAAAAATTAAATTAAAAATATTACGCTAAATTTAATTAAAATAAAGGTCACAAAGTACGAATAGAAAGAGACGAGAGACATTTAATTGATATCGGCGCAGTTGATAAATACGCGCATTTCAGGATCTAAGATAATTTGTCCGGCGGTGATTGTCGAAGACTCGGTATGGCGGTCGACATTCTGGACGAGGATCATCTCGCCGTGAGCGCGATCGTGACCGTCGGCATGCAGCTCATTTTCTTCACGATCGCGGCCACCTTCCAGATGGACAAACTGACAGACTTTGCCGGCGGCACCAACTTTATCATCCTCGCCCTCCTCACCTTCTTTCTCGGTCAAGTGGGCAAGGTATCCTCTCCAACTAGAACTGACATCTCTCGCTATTCTCTGGTGCACGTGCGACGCATATGCGATAGATAAAACCCAGATTGGGTGAATAGATATTAAAATACACGGAATATTTACGGAAGCGCGAAGAAACTGACAAGTTATACGATCATGATAAATGAGTCTTCCGAAGAAATATATGGTTGACACGTTCCAGCCTCTGTGCTAATCGGATGTTCTTTCTTTTGAATTAATTTTTTAGCACAGATCTATCGAGATATATCAGAAACTATTCAACAATTCTACAAAAATAGACACTATTACTAAATTTTTATTGCACAAATTATGTTAAATAATCAAATTTATTTATACATTATAATTAATTATAATTATTAAATTTGATGAAAATGTTATCATGTGTGTTACTGCAATTATTGTTCGCATATAAGTTACAAGACTTATATTAACATTATTTTTTTATCGCAACATAAATTAATATATTTAATAATAATTATAATTGCAAAAATGATAATTTACAAGTTGAAAATCCACATTAAATATTCATATTATGTAGATCGATTTTTTCCAACATACGTCTTTTTTCTAATAAACACACGTCTAATAAACATTTTGAAATACATCTATATTATATTAAAAATATTTTCATAAACGATTTTTTATCCTCAATGAAAAGCCGATACTATAAATAAAATGGCAAGATATATTTAATATCTATCGACAAATGAGCTATACTATCTATGCATTTTTTTATACGACGCCCGCGTTTTTTTTTTATACATCGATTTTTAAAGTATGCGAAAATCCACTAATATTATAATTTATCTCGTATCTCTCTCCCCTAGACGTACGACAGCCGACAAGTTATGGTAACTGTGTTTGTATGCCTCTGGGGTGTACGACTTTCCGGATACCTCTTATATAGAATAATCAAGATTGGTCGTGACAAAAGATTCGACGACCGTCGTAGCAACGTGATCCGTTTCGCCGTCTTCTGGACATTTCAGGTGATATAATTCACATAATATTCACTCACTTCTGCAAAATTCTTTGTGACTGCTTTATTTTTCTACAAGATGATATTATAAGGCATCGATGGTGTTCGCAGGCTGTATGGGTGTACATTGTCAGTCTGCCTGTGATAATAATCAATTCTCCGCGTCACAAAATACCGCCCGCTCCAAAGACAATGACAACACTTGACAGTGCCGGTACGGGTCTCTTTCTCATCGGTTTATTAGCCGAAACCTATGCCGATCTGCAAAAATTCGCCTTCAAGCAGGATCCAGTAAATAATGGCAAATGGTGTAACGACGGTGAGGAGAGCTAGTCTTTAATTGTATAATTTTATAGCATTGACAAGATTTAATCAAAAATAAGATAACAATAAAAAAGAAATATATATATATATATATATATATATATATATATATGAAATTAATTGAAAACTTAAAAATAAAATGTGAAACATTATATTGAAAAGCGTTCGATGTAAAAAAAAAATCTTTACATCTGCATTTGATCTTAATTATTTTTAGGGCGTGGCAGTTTGCAAAGTTTCACGATAAACTATGCTTCTCCTCGGATAATTTGAGATCTATTATTTCCATAAATATTAATAGAATAGAAGGGGGAGTAGTTTAGATTAAACGATTACACACATGGAATATATATACTTTAATGCGTATCTAGCTCGCTTCGTGAAACCTTGAAAAATTCCTAGATCCTATTTATTATACAACTATATTTTAATTAAGATATATAAATTTTATATATATATATGTATAATTAACACATATTTTAATATTTCTAGGACTTTGGAGGCTCTCACGGCATCCAAATTATTTCGGCGAAATCGTTGTCTGGTGGGGAATCTTTATAATATCCTTAAATGTTATTGAAGGAGCTGAGTGGGTAGCTATCGCTTCTCCGATCTTCACAACGTTTATTATTTTATTCCTATCAGGGATGCCATTATTGGAAAAAGCGTCAGATGAACGTTACCGAGAGTGAGTATCACAGTGTATTGAAAATTTTTATGATCTTAGACAAATAATTTTTAATATAATAAATATAATAATGAAACAATTATGCATTGCATATTAAAAAAGAAAATTTAATATATATGTTAAATTTTATATACATATATAACTTTATAATTTAAAAATCATAATAAAAGATATAATTAAAAAAGCAATCATTTCTCTCTTTCTTTGAAAAGGAACAAATTCCGATTAAAGACAAAGACAGATTGATCTATCTGATAACGTGTATATATATATATATATATATATATATATATATATATATATATATATATATATGAAGCATAGTAAATCTATAATCTATAAAAAGAATTTCGTTTTATTGCTTAATGATATAACGTGTGCTTTATAAACATTTCTACAGTAACGCGGAATATCGCTACTACAAGCAGTCCACATCGCCGCTGATACCAATACCACCGTCCATCTACGTTGAAGTGCCGCGTTTCCTCAAGTTCATCTTGTGTTGCGAATTTCCCCTGTACGACTCCCTGGATGTGAAACCACGATCAGCCGTCACCGAATCAACATCCATCAGCCTCGCTGCGTCCACGTAGCTGTAGCCACACGCCGGACGTTCAAATTCCGAGTCCGGCGTGCAATTGACGGTTACGACAGCTACGACCAGCACAGCCTTCTAAGTGCTACTTCACCTATCGGTGGGCTCCCCGTCTGTCCGCGAAATACTATCTCGACGACCGAACCATATAATTCCCAATACAATGTCCTCTCGAATCGATGTTTCATAAGAGACGTATTTCGTACAAATCTGCTTCATCAAGCGCAATAAATACTCGATATGCGGGTACCGTATTGGACAGATCTCTCCTCAAGAAGGAAAGGCTTAAGATGAAGTATTATTATTTTTGTAACTAAAAATCTTATCTATGAAGAGAAACGTAAGTGGTACCGAAGACTTTTTGTATAGGATCGAACAGCGAATGGAAGAATAAAAAATAATTATTTTTGTAGCGATGTTACATGGGTACCAATGTAAAAAGAAGTTTGTTGACCAATTTGCAAGCATCGTTCCTATACGACAAGTTATTAATAGTAATTTTATTAGCAGTTTCGATAGCGATTTCATTTAATTATATGTATTTAAATTTTTGATTTAAATTAACTTGGAAATATGTAATAATTTATATGTCCAAGTAATATCTAGACTTTAAGAGAAAAAACGTGTAAAAAGTATATCTTGAATTGTATAAATGAATAATATATTGTTCTAAAAGTATAGTTTTTGCCAAAGTAAATTAGGCTGTCGTTATTCATGTTTGTCGTTAATGAAAAATGTGTCTTAAATATTACAGAAACGAAATTTGAAGAGAAATGTTGAATATGTATTGGATAAAAAAAAACGACATAGTACGTTTCTAAAACTAATAATAATTCTTGAAATCAATCTGTGATTGGTTTGATACTATAATTACTGTATGCGTTGTTAAAGACAAAATAATTTGCAGAAACAGATTGAAATGAGAAAGAAAATATATGTATCTTAATTCTCGCAACTAGTTACCGAATAAGCAATATTTATCGCCAAAGACATCAGTGTGATAAATATAATAAAGTTATCAGTTACCTCGTTATAATCGCTATCATTCCGTTTTTTTAATACATCATATAGGATGCTTGCGAAGAAATTTTAGACGCAATACAAATGTGATATATTTATGTGTACGATTCTTGTCCTGTGGCTTTCAATCAAATTATTGAATTGTAGCAATATTAAACATATCTCTGTGCGAAATAGGACGTCTTCGAAATATGAAATATCTGAAAAAATTTAATTATGAAAGAAATCTATAAAGCATATATAGGCATAATAAAAATTGATGCGAATGAAACATGAATCCCTTATGAAATAAGGATCCAAAAGTTTGTCCTCTCTACTTCACTGTTATGTAAGAATCTTCAAAGTTTAGATAATAAATAATAATTAATTCTCCCCTAATTTATACTTATTAACTACATACATGCTTTCCTTTCAAAATTATGTACACATGTATTGTACAATATGGTAACACAAAATGCAAATTATATTGATGTCTCTCAGATGAAAAGAGATTGGGCAATGGGCCGCATAATAAATATTGGCAAATTTCGTAAAGTTCACTTTATATTTATAAACACATTTTATTTGTTCGTATGTATATCGTTAATAAATGGTGATATAATAATGACAATGAAATGTATAGCGCCGAGCATAAAACGAGCAGTCATATTATAATTATTAATATTCTTCTTATAATAATCTTACTGTATTGGGTGGGCCTATATATCTACTGTGCTTGCAACGTTATGGTCTTGTCCAAATGTTTCTTTCATTCTCTAATTTATATTATTTATACGTACGTAATAATTCATAATAATATGTAACCACAGGTGAAAACATATGCGTCGTTCTATAGGTATAAACAGCATCATCCACTAATCTTTTTTTCCATTTTTTCCTTTACGCATGTGTATATGTGTGTGTATGTGTGTGTGTGTGTATGATGTGTGTGTCATGCGTGATCATAATCGTTATTAATATAATATAGTAAGTTACTTAAATTGTAATATATTTTCGTGTCTTCGTGGAATATGTTCAGCTGCCGTAGGAAAACTACTGCAGCTGCTACACGTTTGTTCGTAGAAAAACTTCAATTCCCGTTATACATCAAATGTCGATTTTCGATGCGTGAAAGACACTTTGTATTACGCAAGGGTAATTTCATTATCATTTCTTAACACGTTCGAAAAATCGTATCAATAAAATACGTGGGCAGCACAGTGTTTTGAATACCAAAGAAAAAAGAGATCAAAACATTACCTGTGCCTCTTTGCTATGAGAGAGAAAAAAAATAAACAAGAATATGTAGGGAACACAAGGGATGGTGGACGAAGGGAGGAAGGAGGGGACGAAATATTACGACTCCGCTATACGAATGGCATCTTTCTCCTGTCCGATCTAAATCCGATCTGCATTCGCGCGCGTCTACGTAATCGATATATTTATATAATATACAAATAATATATAGTAATAATAATATATGTGCCGTCCATCGCGCTTCTCGTGGTTCTATTATATATTCCCATGTCTAAAATATCATCCCGAAAAGATCGCAAAAAGAATTCTATTATTCTCGTATAAAATATATAGGAATAAGTATCGTCGTTGAAGTAAAATTTGATTATGCGCGCTTGATGATGCTGAAATGCAAGCGGAATTGCGTCCGTACGAGAGAGTGGATATCGAGAACTACGTACGACGACTTGTCAACTCCATTTGCATTCTACATTAGGCTGTCTGAGGACATCCGTTGCTAGCTGGTCAATTGGCGTGACTCGACTTCCGATTCAATTGTTTAAAAGAACACGAGAGAAGCGATTCAAGTCACAATCGATGACCTGACATTTGTTCTCGCATATAGACATCGTATTCCGTTCTCTTACTATCATTATTAACATTATTATTGTTGTCATTCTTATGAATATTATCATTATTTTAATATTAACGCATTATTATTAACATTATCGTAATTAATAATGAAAGTATCGGATCGCCGACGAGTCAACTATGAGATGCAACGGTATCTCCTCAGATGATTTTAATAGACAATTTTTCATTGATATATCATTAAAAATCTCTTAAAAAACAAAATCTTTTAAAAACTTCATATAACGCAGTGAGCGTGAGTGTAAAATGCACGATATACGTATAAACATAAAAAAAAACATACAGACTAAAAGAAAAAAAATTGCGTTACGTTGCGCACAGAACGCAAGGTAACTATACACAGCAAGGATCATCGAGAGAAGCGAAGTAGGACGCTCTTTGCCTTCGAAAGGCAAGAATCGGAGTGATTCTATCTTCGCTTCTTCTTTTTCTTCCATGACTACTTGTATCTTATAGCATACGCTATATTGCATTTGGCCACTGTCGATAAAGACCCCAGCTGCGTCAGACTATTGCAGTTCGTATATTGCAATCCTACGTTTCTAATGACTTATGAGATAGCCCCGTTTTCGTTTGTTCTTAGCAGAGCAGAGAAAGGGCGTGGGTTAAAGAGAATAGTCGCTCCAGTCGTGTGTGTTTCGAGTGTGTCAATGTGAAATAACGCGTGACGCGTATTGAACGTATATAAACGAAGTATTAACATTATGAGTCTATTAATATCTATACGTATAAGTAGAGAGCTCTATAATCCAGAATTTTATTCTCTCTTTCTCTCTCTCTCTCTCTCTTTCTTGCTTTCTTCCTCTCTTTCTCACAGACACGCAAACATGTATACCCACGCATTCTCTCTTTTGCTCTATCGTTCATTCTCTATTTCACTTTCTTTTTCTCACACATACATGCATATACACACACACATTCTCTCACTTCCAGTATCTCCCTTCTCTCCTCGTGCTCTCTTTCTATCCCGTTCTCATATCCAACATTGTCACATTCTCGCAACCACGCATACGCATACGCACATTCTTGTTCATCACCAACCATTCCTCTCTCCCTTTCTTTCTTTCTCTCTCTCTCTCTCTTTTTTATTACCAGCACACCTTTGCGACTCTTCGCCTTTAAATCACTTATTACTTCCCTCTACAACGAAACCGTTTATTTGCCGTCTTTCTCTTTTTCTTTGTTCTCGTCAACCTCCTTGTCTTTCTCAACTTCCTTCTCCTCCTTATCCGCCTTCTCTTTGTCGCCTTCTTTCTCCTCCTTAGACTCTTTGGACTCCTTTGCCTCCTCTTTGCCCTCCTTCTCCTCCTGCTTTTCAGGCTTCGGCAGATGCGTGTTCATATCCAGACTCGAGCAGATTTCGTCCCAATCCGGGAAGCATCGTTCCTTGACGCGCGAGCAATGGCCGACCAAGTTGGGACAGTTCTCTACCATGTAATCTCGTAGGCTGTAGGGCGTGTCTTTGTCGATGTACAAGATTTGAGCGAGATGCGCGAACGCTACCACGTCCATCTGCACAAATCCGACATTAATCATAAAAACCGTCAAAATGAATTTGATTATACAAATTGTCGAAATTCTAGCTGTCAATCAAAATTTTTTTTAAATATATATAATTTATACACACGCTCTGCGTAATTTTACAGATCTCTCTTGTTAAGAATTCAGAAAAAATATTGATTTTTAAAATTCAAAGAAAGTTTATTATAGTTCGAACAAAAATAATTGTTATTTGCTTAATCTGACATTTCATTCCTCAATATCTAGAAAATAAAATTTCTTAAAAATATTTTTAAAAATATCTGAGTTTTGCGAACAACACAAGTGTTCATCTTTAGTTTAAATTAAATTACAACTTACGCGCTAAAATATATCGCTAAAATATTATATATCGCTAAAATATTATTATATCGCGTTGCAAAATAAAAGATATCTTTTATTTGCACTAATAGACAATGTGTTTAAAGATACTTACAGTTGTCGGCTCGTCTCCAAAGAAGAAAGGCTTGTCGGCAAGCGTGTCCGAAAGCACCTTGAGATCGGTGCAGCCAAATTGAGACACCTCCTCTGGACTATGCACGCCCATTCCTTGAGCCTTCACTTTCCTCGCACCCTGTAACCAATCCAACTATCATTTCACTACAAATGGTCACAATGCTTTGTTCTACATTGACGTTTCCCTGTCTCGATAATACCTCAGCTATCACATTCATAGACATCTATGGTCACAAGCGCAGCGATTTGCACTTCAAGCGAATACTATGAATGATTCTAAGGATAGCATGAAGTAACACTGTGATAACGTGTAAGCAGCGAGAAACTTGGTCGAAGTATAGTAAAATCTAAATAAAAGTCATTATTTTTTCGCATCTATCCACACAAATCTTGATAAATATTTGCTCAAAATTTATATTTTCATATAATAAACTTGAATGTTTTACACAATCATTCTTATATTCCATATTATTAATATCTATACAAAAATGTCACCTCGACCAGGAATTAATTTAAATAAATTTAAATAAATAATTATCGATGATAATGTTGGCCATTTAAAGCCTAACATTTTTTAACATCGAGAGAAATAGAAAATGTGCAAAACTACAATTATTATTACACGAACGTAATTGTGAATGCACATGCATGGCTAATCGTAAATATGAATATGTGGAATCGTGCGTTTTGAAAAATGCGAACAAGTCGATAAAAATTTTGTTTTTCTTCGCATACAACATACATCGTTATTGTGCATATATAATTACGAAAGTACAATGTGGAATATAATTATGAAAATATGTAAATAAGTTATGCAAAAAACGTAAAGTGATGCGAATGAGTCATTGCAATTGAACGGTTAGAGACCGTGAAATGTGAGAATTATCATTCAATGATCTAACGTCCAAGTTGTATGCTAGGTCACACCGATATCACACACGAACGATAAACGTAACTTACCTTGCGTCCGAACGTGAGCTTGAAGAAGAAGTTCAGAATCGCGTTGGGTATACGTGATCCTAGGGCAAGCTGCAGATTGACCTTGTAGCCCTTTAGCACTTGATCCAAATTTTTCGTGCGCCAACACGCGACAACCCAAACGAGATGATTCTCGATCATGGATATCATGGCGTGGGAGACGCTTCGCTGTTCGGATGTGAGACCGGCGTCAAGATCCTTGCCGAATTTCTGGCTCAGTTCCCGCAGGATGATGGTACTATCAGCGATTTCTTCACCGTTCAGTTCAACGAACGGCAGCTGGCCCTTCTTAGAGCGGAATTTCATCTTGTGATCAACATTCTGAAACCAAGCCAAATAAATCATCAGTACCTATCGTTAATCGTAAATTAATGTTAGTGACGCGTAAATCAATGTTAAATTATAATGGCAATTAAACTCGTATATTTCGAATACTGACTGATCGTTAATTTTGCAGCTCAACTACTGTGAAATTGAAATATATATTTTAATGTATTTCTTCTATTTGCACGTTCGCAAATTGATTTCTATTATATTGTAACGTGATAAAATTTTACTTTTTATTGAAAAATTTACTTTTTATTGAAAAATTTAAGGTAAAATTACGATGAAATTTTCTATTCGAGTAATTTAATAAAATGCCGAATTAATTTTCGTATAATTATTATTATATATTTTATATCGACAAAAATATTATAAAAATCCTACTCGTTCTCTCTTTTTTCCCTCTTGCCAGCACGATTCTTCGTCATCGTGCGTAATAAATAACTGAGACGGACAGGCATAGGCACCTATACTCTCGCAAAGTACATGCTCTATTTATAGACGTATTGCGTTAAACACATAAGTGGGATATCGTGGTTTTCACAGGTGAATCAGCTTATTACATCTAATTTGTGAAGATACTCCACGCGATGATATATGCGGTATCTCAGATTTATTGCTACGTTTTTTAACGATAAATATTTTTTATAATAAATATATGGGCAATTTTTTTTCTTAATTTTTCACGAGATTTTCATTTGGCAAAATTTTATATTAATATTGGATAATTTTAAAATAAATATTAAAATAAATTCCCTTTAAAATTAATTGAAATTACACCCAGAGAGAGAAAGAGAGTATTTACTCAAACATACAAATTTAACTCGCAGAAAATGTTCTCTCTTTTAGTAATGAACTGTTTTATAATATATGATTGCTTGATAATTTTTCGTTAATGTAAAATAAATTTTAAATTTGTTAATTTACTATTATTAAGAAAGAGTAATATAAATCCGAGAATTCAAATTTAAACTTCATTATAATATTTCAAATATATGAAAAATGAAACACTAATTTAGAAAAGCAAAATTTATACACACTTTCCAATTCAGCGTCATAATAGATAAATATAATTATGACCAATGTAAAAGAGAGAATGTTGTTTTAATCATTCGTACAAAAATAATTAAATAAGCTAGGTAGGATTTTTTTAAATAAGATTTTTCCGTAACATTTAAATAGTACCTTCTCCCTTGCATAGTTTACTATGTGGCTCAAGCATTTCAGGCTCATAAAAAATGCAGAGGAACATTTGCAGTCAGAGTCAAATGAATGGAGTGACTACATGAACCCGCTAATGTAATAATGTCACCTCGTAAAGCGCACGAGTCGCTGCCAAATCGAAATGAAAATAAAAGAAAAGAGTAAACCGCAAGTTTGAGAAGAGTTTGCGAGAATGGGATCAAAACGTGCATGTGCACAATGTGAGAAATACGGAAGAACGAGCGAAACAAGCTAACTCGAAACGAACAAACAGAACGATGCAAGCGCGAAGCCAATTGCGGTGTTAAGACGGAAACACCAAAACGAAACGAGGACTACAATGCGTGAAATCTAGCTAAGAACAAGAGTAAAACTACGGTACAAAAGTATCGCGAGGGGGATCTGTCGACACGAGGTACAGTAGAGATCCATTGCTCCAGTTTTAACCCCTTCGAGTTGGATGCGACAAGATCGATGAGGGCTAGTCGAGAAGCGTGCATATCGCGTGTGTCGGTTGTATAAGGGTCAGTCAAAGTGTTGACACACGTGTATTTGGCCAAATGAGTCATCCTGCGCCCTTTGTGTGCCCATTTACTCTCTCGTTTTATTTTCACCCTCCCTCGAAATACTCGAATAATTATTCTGTTTCGATTCTGAGTATCGGATGTTTTTATCGACAAACGAGAATCATCCAAACGAATTTAAAATCCTTACATTTATTAAAATCGTCGCAGAATTTACACGTAGTTTCAATTTTATACGGAATATTATTCTTATTATTTAACCGGGTTACTTGTGCATTTTTGATTTTAACGTGTAACGTCAATAACGAGATGTAGTTGCGCAGGGCGGGGTTGTTTGCAACGCCCTGCGGCCTGTTCTCGATGCAACACATTGACCTCCCTATTACATGTTTATTATTCATCGAAATCCTTTACATATTTGACTCTGATATGATAAAAATGGTAATACAGGTACATCGAACATTTATATATTTTTTGAATATAACACAGTGAGATTTCTATTATATCATGTTAATTAAATATCGTATTAAATTTATTAAATTTTTCACATTTTTCGAGAAAATGATACAAATGATAAAAAAAGAAGAATTTCAAATAATAAAACTTTATGCATCAACAAAACGTATTGATATCTCTCTACGTATTTATATCTCTTTTGTTATTTATAGAAATTCTTCACAGCTTTTGTCAATATTTATGACATATTTTAGGCAGGATGTTATTAAATTCTAATATGTTATTAAAATTATTTACATTTTTCAGTCATATGATAATAAAGCGCAGCCTCTCCATTGTTCTCATAGCTTCGTAACATTTTACGTGGGCTATCCTCGATATTTCTATTACACAATCAACCTATTCAGGCAAATTACTTATCGAAGTCTCTTATATTTTTTAATCCAATAAGTAGTAAACGTTGGGCAACGATCCAAGACGGAGAAAAGATATCGCGTATCTTTACAGAAGCGAAAAAAACATTTCAGAACACAATTTGCCGTATCTTTCGAATAAAAACAATATCGAGTTAAAAGTCACCGCCCTCGGATATCCCCGTTATCAGACCGAACGTGTGTTATTGAAATACTCGGCATACTTCGGTTCCAATTCATAAGAGAGCCGAGGAAGCGCGAGAGTACTCGCGGGGCAGGGCGGGTCCGGCTCGACGCGGAGAAGCCAAAAGAAACGGACGAAGGGTGGCTAGAGCTGGATCGGCTGCAAAGCGCAAGGGAGAAGCGCGAGCGCAGAGGACGATGAACTCGCGCGGCAGCAGGCAGCTTCCGTCGCCTGGCAACGTCCCCACTTGGCCTCTCCCAGCGGGCGCAGCGTCGACACCATCATCGGCACACGCACATGTACAGACGTACACACCCACACCCGCAGCGTCGTGTCATCGTCCAGCGTACGCATGCACCTCCGTATCTTATACACGTATTATACGTCCGTATATGTCTCGCGCTGGTAGTCGTGGTTCTCTCTCTTTCTCTCCCTTCTTCCCTCTTTCCTATCCCTCTCTCTCTCTTTCTCTCTCGTCGCCGTCATCGTTGTAGTCACCCTCGTTGATCGTAGTCGTAGCTGCCGCCGTTTGCGCTGATATTGATCGCGGGATGGTGTTGCGAACCGCCGCTTGCGCGATGTAAGAGCACGCATGTATCGCGTGGAGAATCGCCGAAAAACTAGTCTCAATCGCGAGGGCGAAGTCGATCAAGGGGGGAGAGGAAGGGAAAGAGGGAAGAATGCACGCAGACAGATGTTTCCAGGGTCAAAGTTCGGGGCGCTATCGATTAGGCAGGATTATTTGGGTTAAGCTAGGTCCAGGTAAAGCGAGGCATTAAACATCGCACGATATATAATATTGAAATGCATCGATAGATATATGTATTTAAAACTGAATCTTTCCTCTTTGAATCTTCTGGAGAAACTTGGAGTTGGGAGTCGAATGAATCGCGAATTAAAAAAAGAATTTTATCCTTCCTTTATTAATTTTATTTAGATTAGATTGCGCAGATATATTTTAATACGATAGTTTCATCATCCCGAAATTGTTGAGCAAAACGTTTAGGAAGAATCATAATAAACTGCGCAAAAATTGAGATTTTTTAAAAGAAATTGAAGAGAAACGCAAGAGCGCGAAAAATGATGGGGTAATATATAAATATATGTATTTACAGGGTGTCAGGGCAATCTGTTGCCAAAAAAGCTTTTGTAGCTTACCTCGACAGCTTTTCAAAACACTATAATAAAATATTTCTTCATCAAATACTTTACGAGTTATGAGGCTTGAAATAATTTCTTAATTTTTACATAAACCATAAAATATCTAGTAAAATATTCATTTTTCGATTATCTTACCTCAATACTTTTATGTACAAAATAATGAGAGGAATCAATTGGTGTAAAGAAAACACATAATTGTTTCGGAAAAAAATGTAACTGTCAATTGCAAAAATTACATATTTTTTCTTAAAGATATTAAGGTAAGATAATCGAAAAATGAATACTTTACTACATATTTTATGATTCATGTAAAATTAAAAAATTATTTCAAGCCTAACTCGAAAAGTACTCGAAAAAATACTTTATTATAGTGTTTTGAGAAGCTCTCGAGGTAAACTACAAGAGCTGTTTTTGCAACAAAAATTGCCCTGACACCCTGTATGTAATATTTATGTAATAGTAATATATAAATATATAAATTTTGAAATCAAATGTGCAGAGGGAAATTTGCATGTCGTAACGCGTAGGCCAGTGATGCGTCTTTGTCAGATGAGGAGCTGTAAATCAGGTTGGTCCACGCCGCGACACGCGACAATGCGACGCGCCATGCAATCTATGCGTATATCCGATCCCTCATTCATTCTAATGGACTAGAAACATACTGTTTCCACGCCGCATTACGTCGGTAGATGCGTTCCGACGCGACGGATGTCGCTACAAGATTTGCATGTGCATATGCTATAGACGCGCTGTGCGTCGCGTGGCACAGTATAATTGGCTACTTACCGCTGCCCACGGCGAGGACATACGTCAAATACCTATTTCGCGAAACACATTACGATTTGCGTCGTATTTTCAACCTAAGAATGCCAGCCGTTTAATCCTTACGAAACGTCAATTATAATAAGTGCCAAAGAAATTCCTCTATTCTTCTCTTCATCCCGAGAGATTATATCTTTCGCTCAGCTTCAAGTAGGGGGATTTTAATTTTGCCTGATATTTTCAACGCGTTTATATTAAAGAAGAGACGAAAGAGATTCCCGTTCAAATTTTTAT